GCTCAGGTTGAAAATACTCACAGTCAACTGCTAGAACCTAGCTATGCCGGGACAGTAACACCCGAGGTGTGATGACCAAGTCAATTTAATTAATTTCAGCCTTTTAGTCCGGAGATAGCAATACAACTACCACTGCACCACAAAAGCTCCTATCCCTCAATGTATAATCAAGCCCAAAGCACATTACTGGTATCAGTTAGCAGATGTATGTAAATAACAACACAGACCTTGAGCTATTAAATTCCTCTCCTCCCTCTTAGATGAGATGGGGGGAAATTGACCAATAAACAGGATTATCCGACAACTGCATGAAATCTCAAAGCAGCTCGAGTTACTGAGGGTTCGCTGCCAGCATTGTTGACTTACTTGAAAGCTTCATTTTCAATAGCTTCAAGGACAGAAGTAGAGAGGCAACCAGGTTAGGAAATCTGGCTATACATTAGAACCAAATTTCATAGCCTTAATACAGTTAAAGGAATTATTTCAGAAATGCAGGACATCCACTCACTTCATGTTGAAGACATATTATGTTGGATATTGGATTCAATGGCTGAGAGAGTAGACTTGCTGTTATGGGTGATCAGGATCTAAACATTATTGCTCAAGATGCTCCAAATAGGTGTAAAGTTTGTGTCAATAAGGATAAATAAACTGCCTGGTTGGTTCAGTCAAACAGGTTAATGAGGCAATTAGTGAACTCATTGATCACAACCCTGGCCAAAACAAATGCATTAAAAGTCCTGATGCATGTATTCAGGGTACTCTTTGGAAGATTTGCTGACTCAGTTATCTGTACGAAGCATTAAGAAACAGACTATGTCTGTCATAACTAAATCCAGTTATTTAAATGGATGAATTTTGGTCAGCCATAGACCAAGAAGTAGAATCAATGTGTCAAATTATTGATTAACACACAGACACATTACAAGCACAATTGATGTAAGTTTACTTGCAATTATGAAGATAATGCAAAGGAAAAATCAGTGATTTAAGGCATTTTCATATTTGTTTGCAAACATACAATGTAGGTTTCAATTTTCTTAAGATTGGGCTAGCCTACTACCACCCTTCCTGACTTTAGTTCAAGCAATGGTATCTATGCCAAAAATATTCCCAAGACACATTAAGTTTGAATTGCTCATATTGTTGCAAATGGAGCAATGGTTGGAATAAAAGATAGATGTTTTCACAACAAAATCTGGAAAACCTGAATTCATAGAATGTTCATGTAGCTTAGCAGGCTGAACTATTGCCATAAAAATTGAATAAATGATCAGTTTTAAAACACAAAGATTTTATCATTGAGAGAATATTCCAATCTTTAGCTTGATGTGGCCTGAAACCTCTATACTAATGCAAACTTATTTTATGACCAATCCAACAGTATTTTTAATGTTGTGTTCCAATATCTGATATAGCAAAGAGTAGAAGATTTAACAAAATTGCATGATTGGCTGGCCCAATTTAATTTTAAAAAAGTGGTAATTGGTGAGAAGTCCCCTACAGTTTCTGCAATCCACATCGAGGTATGGGCATGGCTATTACTTTTGCACATTAAGTGAACAAAATTTAGACTTCCACGGTGAGACAGCAGAATTTGAAGATATGACATGTCAGCCCAAAGTATACAGCATCCAATTTTGCCTAACGGTAAAGTTATGAAGATCTAGAGCTTCCTACAGATGGTCATATAACCATGTAGAGGAACTAAATTCTAGACAAACATCACAACTACCGAAGAAATTAGGGTGGAAAAATTCAGAGTAGATCATTGTGCAATTACACTTGCAAATGAAACAAAGTTAAAGAGCAGGCATATTTAAATTGACACAGGTTGTAATTTAAAAAAATATAACTGAGTAGAACAAATATACCAGAACAGCTGCATGTAAACTGGCCACTAATTTTTATCCTTGTTAAATTTGACAAAATACTGTATCTGCACAGACTAAAACATTTAATAATTGTAGCTCAGTATTGTATAGAAATGAGCAAATTAAACAGCAAAACAATGAGTCCTAGTAAAATTAAAGTTATAGGAATTGGAGAGGTTCCATTAGTTGGAGTCAACATGCAGCACAAAGGAAGATGGTTATAGTTATGTGCAAGGGCAATCACCTCTGTCTCAGGATGCTGCTACAGGAGTCTATAATCTGATCAATCAGTACAATTCACATCTCTGCAAATAAAGCATACCATACCTGAATGCAGCAAGACCAGGTCAACATTCAGGCTTGGGCTGTTAAGTGGCAAGTAATATTCACACCAGATTTTTTTTTTTTAGGGAATGACCCTTCATCTCCAACAGGGGGGTGAAAACCCTAACTATGCCCTCAAGACATCCAAAGCATTGCCATTACTGTAACCCCTACTATCAACACCTTCATGACCAAGACCTTAGTTGGACCAGCCATATGAACATTGTAGCTACAAGAGTGAGTCAGAGGTTAGGCTTTGAATGCAGAGCAATATATCCCCGATCTCTCCACAAAGTTTATCCACTATCAACAAGGAACAAGTTAGTAGTGTGCTGGGATACCCTTGACTTTGCAGAGGACAACTCCAAACCTTAAATCAACTCAATACCCTCTCGGACAAAGCAGACTGGCTTGACCAGCATCTCATCCATCACCTGAATTATTTATTTACTAACAACATCGCAGTGGGTATTAACAGAATGTACTGAAGTACCTTCACTGTGTTACTGCATCAGAGCTTCCAAACAACCTCTACTACCTAGAAGGTCAAGGACAGTGGATGCACAGGAACACCATCTGCAAGCTCGCCTCAAAGCCACATAATATCCCAACTTGGATCAATACCACTGGCCCCGCAACCTGAAGGAGCCTGGTGCACCTACACCATATGGGCTGCAGTAGTTCATGAAAGTTCTGCCAAACAACCACATTTAATGGCAAATAGGAATGGGTAACAGACACCCCAGCCTTGCCTGTGAAGCTCACAACAAAAAATTTACATATTAAAGTTGTATGCTGAACCCGGATTATGCTTTCAACTGAGGTTGCATTTTAGTACTTGATTTATTTTGAGCTTTCATCAATTTTAACACTGCTGTGTTTGTGTTCTATGTTTGAAGCGTACTCCATCATTACATATTCCAAGACCATGTCACATGGCAAATTCAGTAATCTAATACACATCTAACAAATCTGCTCTATTTCAGTAACTGATTAACCACCTAGTAGATTAATGGAGCCTGGAGGGGAAACACTGGTCATAGGTAACGGGAAACTGTCAAAAACTCTGTGCATCTTGTAATGGAATCCTTAACTATCTTAAAAACTGGATAAAGCTATTATAGAAACTATTTTCATCAAAAAATGTTTGCAAGACGACAGAATGGAGTGCAGACAGTCATAGATGTATAACCAATTGAGACGACTAGAAGGGATGGACTTATTTGGGAAATTAAGATTTAATGAATACTGAGAAAAGGCACAGAACTAGAGAGTTAGTGACAAAGACTTGAAGGACCAAAAGACCTTCTTCTGTTCTGTACACCTCATAAAATGATGCAGCTGCCACAACTAACAAAATGGTTGATCAGATGCAATGGGCCAGGTGGCCTACAATGAAGCTGTTAAAAGTATCAGACGTGGGGTTAACCAACAGAAAAATGTAACTTGCATAGTTTATGTCTACATGCATTTCTTTAAGCTTCCTTAGATTACGGAGCATATTTTAAACAAAAAGTCAGACCACATTAAACTTGTTGGCAAAAAATGGCCGACTGAGCAAGTTTCAAGTTTTCGATCAGAGCTTTATCAACTTTGGTTGCAATTGTTTAGCAATGCAATTGCTTAGCAGAATACTACATGAAGTGTTCAATCATGTAAAAAGCAAGAAGAAATGCAACGTATATGAGAAGTTAAAAGCACAAGAACGAAAATGCAGCAAATACAGTTCGGCCTACGATCAACGTTAAGAATTGCTTGCAAGAATCATCCATTAAACACCACAGGGAAAAAAAAAAATAATCAGACAGCAAACTAATGCACACAAAGCCATTAAGATTTTACTAGCACAGTTCGTTACCATATAACTGAACATCACTGAAACCTAGAGACATCAAATAAAGCCTGAGCTGAGTGATAAAATACCTCTTATTAGCAGTTCTAAAGAGTCTTAAGAATCTAAGACAACTTCAAGGAGATTTATTTAGTTCTAAGATGGGAGAAAAAAATTTGGGGGGGTTAAAAGTTCAATGCAGGATACAATAAATCCTTCAGTATAAAATAACATCTTAAATTGTAAAGGGACAGTAATTGTTTCTATCAATCCTTCACTGGAAATTAACCTTAATTCTTAATTGCTTTTTTACACCATGATTTGCTTGCAATCAACACTACGTTATCCTTCTATGTGTAAAATAAGATTAAAAGTTATTTTATCAAATATTTTGAACTCTAGCTAAATTGAGTCATTTATTGTGCCAGTAAACAGTAAAGAAATTGTTTTAGTTCTGTTTTATTTAGTATCATTCATGTTAACATCCTTTGTTCTCTTGTCAAGGAGTAAAAACGTTTAAATAGTGCTGTTCACCTTATTTCATCAGCACCCCACACTCTGAATATCATACTATTTTGAACGCAATCAGCCTTTTCTCCATTCGAATTAATGCAACACCTATATGATTAAACACAGTGTCGTTCCTGTAAATTGTTTAGGTAGGTACAGCAGATGAGGAAAAAACGTCAGAAAATTCTGGAAATTTGTTGGGAAGAGTCAAAATAAAAATGAAAACTTCAGCTCCAATTCTTGCAAGGACATTTTCATCTACTAATTCCACTTAACTTTTTCAACTAATTTTGCAGTAACGTTGGCAACGTGTTGAGCATTGCATGTGTGTTTGTTCTCTGAAAACATCAAACAAGCAGCGGAATTTTTAAAAATACAGTCAAACCCAGTGGATTAGCGATGCAGCACGGTAGTTGAAAAGTTTGAACAGAAAATATATTTCCAGACTTGAGAGAACTACCAACAGTGAAGTTTTTCTTTTATTTTTTTTCTCTAAAACCTTCCAAGCATTGTTGTGCTGTAACTAAAGCAAGATCTCAAGAACGCAGTTAACATTCCAGGTTCCCCCTTCCATTTTTATTAGATCTACAGGTAAGTAAAAATTTGCTCTCTGGGACTAGAACAGCAGCACTTGCACCAAACCACTTCAAAAATTAATTTCCAAAGCAATGCGGGGGCTGGGGATTGAAAGAAATAAAAAGAGTGCATCCAGAACCGAGTGGCTAGAAGGAAATAATAGCACATATTTTAAAAATACATTGATGATCCTAGAATGTTATTTGGGAGAATTTGATTTCCTTTCATAAATTCAAAAAAGGCTCAATTCAGTAATGTAACGAACATATGATTGAGTAATTCTTTTCTTGAACTTTAAAATAAATATTCAGAAAAAGTTTACTATACATACAAGCAAATGATATGAAAGTCACACTAATCAAAAAAAAAATTGTTCGTACAAGTTGCTGAAATCTGCTGTTCCAGCCCAGTGTCCCCTGGAGGAGAGGCACAGATATGGGTGACTATTATAGATGACTATCATATGGCCTTTAAAAAAAAAAACAGGGGTACCGACACCCATAATTTTACTCTTTATCACACGCTTTACATTCATATCTTTTACAGCATGCCAAATCCTTTGGCATAGGTAATGGCCTTTAGTAGTCTGTCATTGAGCTTTTCCTTGCTGCAATACTCAGGAAGCAGGAGGACGTTAAAACATGTGTGGGATGTTGGCAACCTAGAAAAGAAACATGATACATTAGATACAGTAATAGCAGTAACTGAAAACAGCCATGCTCATAGGTCATGACAATTATTCATTGTAAATAATCAATATGTACATATAAATTTGTAGAGTTAAATTTGAAGACCAAGTTTGAAGTATAAATATTTGAGGTAAAAAGATTTGCTTGTAGGCAGTCACCATGGATCATAATTGCAGAATCAACAGAGTGCAAATCTAATGCTTTCTGATGGAGGTATTCAAAACTCTAAAGGGCTTTCATAAGGCACATCAGGTAAAAGGGCTGTTACAGGTCAATGGTTCAGCAACAAGAGGATATAAATTTATGACTCAAAAAAGACAACTGGATCCTTTTGGTGGCAGTGCGTTGTACAAGAAAAATTCCATGAAAACAAAATCTTTAGGTTTACAATTGATTTGGATAATTATTTGAAGATAAAGATTGAAAAAGGTTTCAAGAATAGAGCAAGCCTAAATGGTTTTTCAGAGTCGATGCAAATAGGATAGGTAGAATGTATTTTTCCCATACTGCAAAATTTGACAATTAAACATTGAAGATCTTGTTCAGTTTCTTTTTAGCTCAATGTTACCTCAAGTTTACATAGTCACCTTTGGAGGAAACCTTCTTTGTATAGATTTTACATATAGACTCAATGTGTGGTGACAAGTTGAATGCATTTATTTCACACCTCTGCAGGGCCCCACTGGAAATGTTTAAAATTACATTAAACTAACAAATTTTAACACTGTCAGAACAATGCTAGAATCCTAACAGCTATCAATAGCAAGTGTTACCCACAGGTGTTCAAAGCTGGAACCTGTGAACTTTAGCAAAGAGATTTTTTTGGAATACAAATGCATTTTGGAATGATATCAGGTAGCAGCATAGCTGGCTAGAGTTAAAAGAATAATTCCAACAAGCACGGGTTCAATTCTCTACCAGCTTTGCTGGTTCATGACAGCTGCTTCCTTGACTTGTCCCAAGCTTGAGCTGGAGTGCCATATAACCAAAAGTTTCTTTAATGGAGAAGAGATACCTACGTCCCTTCATAGGGCAAACCTAATTCGCGAAGAAATGCATTACCTGTCAGAATCTGGTCCGTTCTTTGCGATAATCATCTTGAGTTTTCCAAGGCCACCAACTGGTGCTCGATCTGTGCCTGTTGTAAACTGCAGGAAGAGTCGTTTCTGCTCCTCTGTAAATGCATGGACAATTTCCCAGAATTCCCTGATAAAATGTGTTTTGTTAATTCCTTTGTGGATTAATCTCTTTAGATTTATTAAAATACAAATAATTTAATGTTTTACCAAGGTTAAAGTGCGCACAAACTCCAGCAATAACTTTTTTTTCTTAAATGCTTTTAATAATGGATCTTGGAACTTGCCATTTGTGAAACAATGAGGCATGTAAAAACAACCTACTTAAAATCTTCACATAGCATTATTACAATTACCTGGGCGAATGGCAGGAGGGCATCTTGTATAAAATTATGACAACAAAATGACAGTACGATTTCATTTCTTTTTAAAACAGCAAGCTTAAAAAAAAATACCACTTTAGTGCACTGACCCATTTCTGAAAACAAAGGTGATCTTATTTGGAAACTAAACTGGGAGTTGGGTCATTATGGCAGCTTGCTTTTGTGCTCTTAAAGTTCAGACATAGGATCCATAAAATTAATTCACTTGTTGAGAAATGGATGCTTTATTGGATTGAGTTGTTGTGCGTGAAATTTCTCTCACCAGTGAAATATGCCACTTCACTATCTCCCTCCCTAAATTATCACATAATAGAAATCAGTTTTCTACTTTCATTGAATTATAGAACAGTACATCATGAAAGATCACTCAAGTCTGCTCCAACCCAAAGACCAATAAAGTCAGCACCAACCCCCAATTGTTTTCTGTATCACTGCAAACTTTCATCAAGTACATCATACACCTTCCATGGTGGTATGCAATCTGTAACCATCACTAAGTACGTCCAACCCTTTGCTGAATAAAGGTTTCACCTCATGTTGCCTTAATTTCTCAAGCAAATGGTTATGAACCTATACTCTCAGGTTATCCCTTCAACCAGTATAAGAGTTTCTCCCCATTTTCACAACCTAAACCAAATGACATTAAATATTTTAAATCTGGGAGACTTCTTTGCTCCAGAAAGAAACATTTTTTGACTCAGTCCACAGAACTGTAATCCCTTATCCCATGGACTATTCCAGTATATCACCTCTGCACCCTCGCCATGACTTTCGAGTCCTTCCTACGTATGCTGCACACAATTGCAAATGACACTTCAACTGGGGTCAAAATGTTTTACATAGGTTCAAGATAACTTTTGTACCCCCTCTATTTATAAAACCCAAAATCCCAAATGTTTTCAACTGATTTTCCTTTTTTTTCAAAAAGCTTGGCCTGCCACCTTTGAAGGTTTGGGCAGAAACATCTCCCAGTCTCCGCTTTTTAACCAATATAGAAAATTCTCCTGTTTAGGATTCAGAGATTCCTCCCTTACTCTGTTCAACTCAGTAGTAGACGAGTTAAAATATCACTTTTGTTCTTTAATTCAGTAACTTATTTGGAAATCTAACCTTTTTTCTCTTCCCCACTATTGGATGACATATAAAAATATCTCAAACAGTGCAACAGATTCTTTACTTTTTGTTTACTGCACCCAAATAGGGCGATTCAGCCTTTTGCCCATCAAGACATTCACTTTTTTTAAGCACACTAATATTTTTCTGGAGTAACACTTCCTTTACCCAAGCATAAAGATTCAATCCTCTCCAGTTCTTTTTGGAGCAAAACCTCAGTTAACTTTACATCATATATCTACGTAACTGTTTACACCTGCAGCTCACCATTATTAACTGCATTTCATGCATTTACATACTTGCGTGCTTAACCCAACTTGGGTCTCTTTGTTTCAGAGATAGTAGGAACTGCAGATGCTGGAGAATCTGAGATAACAAGGTGTAGAGCTGGATGAACACAGCAGGCCAAGCAGGCCCTGAAGGAGGGTCTAGGCCCAAAACGTCAGCCTTCCTGCTCCTCTGATGCTGGTTGGCCTGCTGTGTTCATCCAGCTCTACACCTTGTTATCTTGGGTCTCTTTGTATTTGCTGTGATCCCCTAATTTTATTTTATTTATAACCATCTTGCCCAGGTCTATGAACCTTGTTTTTACTTTTTAGTATTACAACTTTGTGTCCAATTCTCTACCAAAATAGATTAAATCTACATCCACAGCAGTCAATAACTTGCCCATAAGGATAGTGGACCAGCTCTATTCGTTCATCTTGAGCAAGTCTGACCTGCCACAGAATTGGTAGCAATATCCTTGGAATTCAAAACTTTCCCTTCCCTTGCCATGTCTGAAACCCCTCACCTGACTTACCATATCCTATTTCTACTGCTCAATACTGGACATAAAATCGAGAGGTGCTGATTTTAACTTCCCATATCCCTACCGCTTGACTGCAGGACCTCCATCTCTTCCTCAAGTCATCAATTCTGATCTGAATCACAATATCCCACCAGAAAATGTTCTGTATGCCCCCTTGCAGTCGGGAGGCAACATACAATAACTCATGATGGTAGAAGAATTACACGTCTGTTCCTAGCCATGGAAGCCCAATTCCCACACTGGACTGTACCTTGCTCTGCCACTATGTCAGGTTCCAAGCTCACTCCATCAAGGTGGTGTCAGTGATATTCTGTAATACTGATTTGAGCGCGCAACACGGAGTGATGCAACATTATTGCCTATTCCTGGTTAACGTTGAAAAGATGATGCAATCTACGTTACTGAACCACGCAATTTTAATTCAATCTCATATTTCAACAATCACTCATAATAAAACTTATTTAGTTGTACAACACCTTAGGCAGGACTTTCTACATCTAATTTTTAAATATATGTTATGATAATTTTTTCCTTCTGAAAATTACCTCTAGGCCAAGAGAAAAAAAAGAGACTAGAGATGGTTCTCAAGGCAGCACTGTCAAATCTGTTACTTAGAATTAAATCAATGGCGATTTTTTTGTTTGCAAATGATGGAAAACAAAATAAACTGACTAAAAACATTTACGTCAAACATAAGATTTTGAAACTTAGGTCCCAAGCTATGAAGTAAATCGCAAGGTCAAATTCCTTTCCATCTTGAGAGATTTCTACATTTGTCGACTGATTGGCAGTTATTTCTGTTGCTGCACAAGAATAAAGATACTTCTGTTTAACTGTATGCTGAGAAAGAATGTACATGACCATGAATTGGAGTCTGATGGAACGGGGCATCTTACAGCAAGCCTATTTTCCATTTAGGTTTTTACATTATTTCTCCACGATGCTGCTGAAAGCTCAAGCTGATAATGGCACAGTGAAGACAAAAAAGGACATTTTGGACCTTAGTGAACAACAAAATTAACCATTTATCTCATTAAATCAATGAGTGGAAAGAAAAAGAGCATAAAAATTAGAGGCGGACAATTCTAATTCAGATCAGGTACAGAAAAAAAATAATGTTACGGAAGAGTGGAATTTGATGGGAAAAAGCTGGCTCTTTATAACCTCCTGAAACAAAACACAATTTAGAAGAATGACAGTACATACTCTAGCATTTGTTGTCAATCTCTAATTACTTGAGAATGTATTGAGCCACCTGCTTGAACTGTTGCTGTCCAAATGACATTGGTAAAATCTCTCAATCTAGTCAGAGAGGGAGTTTAAGATTTTAACCCACCAATATTGGAAGAACAGTGATATACTTCCAAGCCAGGACAATGGGTGACTTAGTCAACAACTTGCTGGTGGTGATGTCACCACACACATGATACCCTTGTTCGAGGTGGTAGAGATCACAAATTTGGAGGATAATCAAAGCAGCTTTGGCAATTACTGCAACGTATCTTATAAATGACAAATACCACTGCTACTGTGGCCAGTGCAGCAGTGGATTTAAGGCAGTGCATGCCCATCAAACAGCCTGTTTGAATGCCTTCTGTATTGTTAGAGATGCACTCATCTGACAAGTGGAGAGTATTCCATCGCATTCCTGACTTGTGCTTTGTAGATGGTAAACGGGCTCTGGGGAGTCAAGGGGCAAGTTGTCTGCCATAGAATTCCCAGTTTCACAATATTTATATGATGGCCTATTTCAGTTTCAGCTAATCATAAACCCCACATTTTGATAGTGGAAATCGAACTTTGCTGTTGAACTTCTGCTTAGACTCTTTCTTGTGTAAAGATGATCATTGCCTGGTTCCTGTACAGCACAAATGTTATCTGCAATTTACCAGCCGTAGCCCGAATATTATCCATGTCTTGCTGCACACCAGCAAGGATTACTTCATTATCCAAGGAATTATGGAGCTACTGAATACTATGCACTTACTAGTAAACATCTTTATTTCTGATTTTATGACAAAACAGTTGAAGGTGGATAAGTCTAGGATACTACTTTAAGAAATTCCTGCCAGGATGACCTGGGGACTGAGATGACTTCTTGCAATAACCACTCAGGTTGTTAATTACTATACTGAACTCTGTGGCTAGCTTAATGAGTAAATGGAGCAACTTCAAGAAGTGGTTAAGGGAGTGCTACAGTTTCTGCAAATTTAAAGGGTAAGCAACACAAATCAGCTACAATTTGCAGTTTTAGTTTTCTGGTTTAGGTTTTCTTTGCTACAGTTTGCTAGTCATTACTAACACCTTGTGGCATTCTGATGTCATTTTTTATTAAGTGTGACCAACTATCTATCATATGCCTTTAGCTGGAATCACTGGGAGTGTCTCAACATTTGGACAGGTGCCCCACATTGAAAAGTTTGAAAATGACTGGCTCAGAATAAAGGCAGTTGATCATGCAGCATTGTTTATATCTTAAGAGTGGAGACCACTTCATTTCCCAATGGCAGCAACCTGTAATGAAACATCTGCAATGACTTCATTCCTGAATTGAGTTATGAGATTTATACTAATGTGGCAGCCTTTGGGGCAGGATGCAAAATAAGTTCTGTGGCACTAAAACATATAGGGCCAGAAACTTGCCAGGAGAACAAAAAACTGGAGGACTGATTCAAAGAACAGAATAGTCACAATGTTAGCTATGCTTAAAAAATGGCAAACGTAAAAAAAATTAAGAATAAACGTAAAACTATACCTTACAATACGGGAATCCTTGGCATATCCACCATCATACTCTGTAGTTTCTTCAAGTGCTTGAAAATCTAGGTTCTAAATTTGAGAGATCTCTCTTTATAATCAACTTTAATAATATAAAAAGTTCATGGTGTCTAATCCAGAAAGTTGACACAGTAAGGATTTTAATACTGATTTACCGGACTTCCACAGACGAGTAGCTCAATCTCCTCCGGTCGGAATAAATACTTTAGTGGTGACTCATTGGTTACCATATGGAAACCTCTTCTAAAGGCTCTAAATTGCTTTTCTACTGATTTGTTGAGAATATAATCTGTATAAAGGTCAACAAATTCCTGTTTGATACAAAATAACATCACATTAGATCTATATAGCGTATACCTGGAAACAGTTGGTATATCCAGTAATACAAATTCAACATTCAAGTTCTACTAATATCATAAATGATGGTTCATCCTCTGGCTCTAAGCAACTCAGAAGTTTTTCAGCTAATAATTTTTCCAGTGAGTTCAGCACTTATCTCCTGTGCACGAAATTCATATCCAGTTTTTGGGACTGTTCATGGTGAGCATTTTTGGAATCATGCCCAAATTCAAGAGAAGGAGTTTGTATTTGGAAAGCTACACAGAGTTACCCATGCTGGGTTGCAAAACTAGAACAGCTCACTGAGCTTCTCTCAACTTAAATGGAAAGCTTTGGTTATCCAAGAATAAGCAACTCTGGAATTGTTACAAATTTCCATGTACAGCTGATGGAGGACAAGGAAGTCAAAAATAACCATTTATTCATTGTACTCCCAAGACATTACTCAAATACTAGGGAAACATTCAGCTGAGCCACATTTATTTTGGACTCTCAAGTTCTTGGTTTCCATTGATTTTATTACTTGTCTTACATTGTCCTTGACCTTTCTTTTGCTCACTATACTTATCACGTTCCCCAAATCATTTTTCAGGTTTTATTTGGCCATTCTTTCTCTGCATGTCTCCTGTTTCTGCTCTCACTCATTATTTTCCTCATTCATCCAAATTTTAATTTTCCTTTTCAAAAAGGAAAATCCAGGCACATAGCCATCATACATCAGTTCAGAGTTGAGTTATGGGGAACGGGTATTCGAGAGTTGGTGCAGTATGTCAGAAGTCAAACAAAAAAAAAAGCAACCATACAAAGATAAGGAAAGGGAGGGAAATACCTTGCTCCAGATCAGTGCTATTAAACCTTTTGGAGAAGGAATTAAACTACCTTTATTTCAGATCATGTTGCATCAAGATCCAGAGCTCTCCTGCCACATTTATGCTGCAGCAAATATAACAGCATTACTGCATTTAATTTTAAACTGAGATTTATCCTAACATTACCTTTCTGTTTTCATTTGTCACTGGAATCTGATCTCCATTCTCCCTCAAGTTACACATCATTGGAGTTCCAAACAAGTCAGTTTGAGATATCTGGAAAGTAATCATCATGTCATCCTCTACGCTGCCATCATACTCAACAAGTTGTTTTAAACTCTGATGCAGGACCTGGGAAAGGAATTATTCACTAGTTATATTATTTCATGGTAGTTGTTGATAGACCTACTTAAAAACCTAAAGCAACATTTATAGAATTCAAATGTAATGTATATATTGAATTAATACTGTTTTTGGTAAAGCACAATGCTCAACATCATTAATCAGCTCATGAAGTACACAACTTGGCAGTTGAAGTTGCTTATATCAATGGCTTGCTAATTTGAATCATGCAAAAAAAGATCTTGTACTATTTTATTCAAATTGCTTAATCCGCACTCGAAGATGCGTGACTGAGCACAAGTTTCTCTTTTGATTTGCAGTTTATCACTTGCTTCATTTCCCATTAACATCAATTTGCCCACTTAGTTGTCACTTCTCAGAACTCTGCAGATTAAGGGAATCAGATGCAAAAAACTTAAAAAATAAAATTAGTCATGCTGCTGAGAAGAATGCTCTTTAAAATGCACTGGTGAAAGAGGTGGAGTTTGTTATTTAAATAATTTGTAAAAATTTTAATAATGTACTTTACCGGATGAGAATCTTCTAGGTCTCGGAAGGTTCCCTTTTTGCCCAACAGTTTTCTGTAAACGACCATAGGAAAATGCACATCCAGTATACAGTTGTTGTAAATGGCCAGGCCAAGAACTATGCCAATTAGAGTAAACTGTCCCTCGGTTTCAAATGAGGAAGTGTTGAACCAGAACAATTTTGTAGATTCATCATACGTGAACATTCCTGCAGAAGGGGGGAGAAAAAAAGCACAAAAAAACTTTTACAGTTCGAAAAGTTTAATGAGCCATGGAATGGTAAGGTGGTGGCTTTTCTGCAAGGTCCAGTAGAAAATGAAGTTGCCTGGAGAAACTTCTACTGGAAGACAAAGTTAACTGGGTAACCAATCAACTGCGATTGGTCCTAGATCAAACTAAAATTGTATGAAGATTAATTTTGGCATGAAGAATAAGAACAGGCAAAATAAACTAATTAGGGGAATTTTAAGAGGGTTGCATGAAAGAGTTGAGGGAGCTCTGGAAGGTGAGACGGTAAGATGATAAGACTGATCAAACACATTTGGTATCCTTAGATTTATCAATGGAAAGCAAAGAAACTTCTATAAAACACTAGCTTGATGCCAGTGTGCTCAATTTTGGGCAACACATGGTTAAAACTTTGGACAGTAATGGTTAAATTCTGAAACATGGGATTAATAGTTTTATCAATTTAAAGACACTTACTAGAATTGTATCAGGGAAAAGCAACTTCAGTTATGCCTACAGAGAGGAGAAGCTAAAGTTTTCTTCTCGGGAATAGATCAATAGGTAACTCATTGGAAGCACCCATAATCATGAATGGTTTTGACAAGTGCAGTAAGGAGGAACTGTTTCCAGGGTTGCAGGCCAGCACTGCGGCAAAAGAGTTGAAAAGCGATTGCAAAAAGAACCATAAATGACATGATTTTAAAAAAATAAATTGCTTCAGTCTGCAGTACATGCCTGAATGGCTTTTTTCTGCCTTCCTACCTCAACTTTAACTAGTTACCGAATTCAAAGGGGAAAAAAATTGGGGTCAATGTAAGAAAATGGGAGGAGGCAGGAATGAAATGAATTAGGCAGTTCCAGTAAAGTGCCAGCACTTTAGGGCTGAATAACCAACTCTTGTAGTGATTTATTTCATGATTCACTTCTAAATCTGTAGATTTTATGGCTAAAATGCAGAAGCAATGTTCAATTAACTTATCAAATTATCAAGCAAAGGTAGCTGATTTTAGGTCATGTGAACTTGAACTCCCAAATTCACTGCTCTCCCATCACTCGTTCACCTATTATATAATTATATTCTACTGTTTATGATTAGCTCTTACATTAAATTATAAGAAATGAGTAAGCTGTTGGTTTCGCTAAAGAAACATTCTGACTTGTTACTTTTATTTGCCTATTGCAACAGATCAGCATCCTATCAGATCTCCTTTGGTCTCCACTATGAAGTACATACTTCGTACTTCCATCTCATCTATAAATTTAGGCTATAGCCAACAGTGCGGAGCTGGAGGAACACAACAGGCAAAGCAGCATCAGAGGAGCAGGAAAGTTGACGTTTTGTAATTTTCTTGCTCCTAACATATTGCCTGGCCTGCTGTGTTCCTCCAGCTCCACGTTACGTTGTCTCTGACACCTCATCTGCAGTTCTTGCTATCCACAAATTTAGGCTTTTTTCAGCTCAAATCCTGCATACCCAGTGAACAGTTTCAGTGCCACAACAGCCTCGTGGGACATTATCCACTTCTACTCTTAAGAACGCACCCATGGATTTTAAACATTCCCTCCAAATTGTTATGTACATTCAGGCAATTTTTAAATCACTTACTTTCACCCAGATACTCAAAACTATTTCAAAGTTAAGATCAAAGTTTTCTCTCCCACAAACGTTGCATGAAACAGCCTATTTCATGCGGGGTGGCACGGTGGCACAGTGGTTAGCACTGCTGCCTCACAGCACCAGGGGCCTGGGTTCGATTCCACTCTCGGGCGACTGTCCGTGTGGAATATGCACATTCTCCCCGTGTCTGCATGGGTTTCCTCCAGGTGCTCTGGTTTCCTCCCACTGTCCAAAGATGTGCAGGATAGCTGGATTGGCCACGCTAAATTGCCCAGTGTTCAGGGATGTGTAGATTAAGTGGGTTATCGAAGGATGGGTCTGGGTGGGATGCTATGAGAGTTGGTGTGGACTTGTTGGGCTGAAGGGCCTGTTTCCACACTGTAGGGAATCTAAGTCATAATATTTAAGCTAACTTGGTCGTTTTTCCCAGGCATCTTTTGGCCTCCTTCAGTAGATGACATTCTCAGAAGAATCTACAAATTTAGTTTCTTGACCATCAGCACTTTTTTTCTGCATTTATCTCAGTTCCTCATGGTGTCCAGTTGGATCCAAACACTTTATTGTTTACTTTACAAACATTTTACTTAGCTAATTACCTGTTACTGGAAGGGAAAAAAGATGGCCAGCAAACCACAAAGCATTTTTGGTACTTTAATTGGTTTGCCAACATACTATGACCATATTTAAAGTCTGCCATTTGACTTGATTATCTGTTGACAATTAATTCACTCTTGCAAGCTATAATGTGCTTGCAATAGGTTAGCAGAAAAAGCCGCTGCCAGAAAGTGTTCTTTAGCACCTTGCTTGCAAGTGCAGTGAGCTGAGATTGTTGCTCGAGAAAAAATGCTGTATTCTCTAATCCCTCCAAGTTTGATTTTCTCTCCCAAAGGCATTAATGATATTGGGTTAAAGCTCATGAGCACTGGTCACAGTACAAGAAATTGTTTATACATGATGAATGAAGATTGAAGTGACATTCATCCATGAAGGTCATTCCGGAAGCAGCACAATTATTTCCTCATCTGATGCCCAAATGTAGATATTTACATCAGCAGTCACTAAACAAGAAACAGGAGTACTATGGCTGATTTTTTTTTTTCTGCAAACAGAGGCTAACTGTGCTGCTCTGTGCCATCAGCTCAAAATTGGCCAACTCAGAACAGAAAAATTCAATATGGGACTTTTTCGGTCTATATGACTCAGTGTTACACCATCATTAGCCACCAGATCCATATAGCAATTCTTTAAACAGTATTGCCAGCATGCCAAAATTGGAACACTACAAAAATAGAAATCCATACCAATGTCAGGATTGAAGATTTCTTCCACAACAAGCTGAAAAAACTCTTTGGAAACACCTCCTTCATCCACACCTTGCTCGCCTTCAAACTCTACGTACAGCTGTTTCTTCAGATCTGCAGGATTTTCCATGGCAATCATTTCCAGCTATTAGTAACAGTTTAAAATTGATGGATTAGTATTTTGCTGCTGATCTTCAACGTTACCCATTCCAAAATACTTCAGATTTGTTAATTCATGCACATTGGAAACACAAGTTTGAGCTGGTCACTTACTGTTTATAAAATGCATTCTCATTTATCAGGTCCATCACTGCAGCAAGTCTCACGTTTGGAGCATAGACGCAAATTGGAGCCAGATTGGCAAAAAGAAAAGCATTTCAGGTTCTGTTAACAATTACAAGCCTAGTAAACGTAGAACTGGTGTAAGTGAAAATGTTTACTGAGAGTTTATTCAGACAGTACATTTGAAGATTTGTGGTAGTATCGCTGAATTTCTAATTGACTAAAGAGCTACTACCAACCACCTTATAGAATAGAATCCCTGCAGAAGCACCTACCCCTAATCCTATCCCCTGCATTTCCCATAGTTAATTCACCTAACCCTACACATCCCTGGACTCTACGGGCAATTTAGCATCGTCAATCCACTTAACCTGCACATCGCTGCACTATGAGAAGAAACCCACACAGATAAGGGGAAAATGTGCAAACTCCACACACAGTCACCTGAGGGTGGAATAATCAGATAATCACAGCAGGCCAAGCAGCATCATAGGAGCAGAGAGGCTGACGTTTCGGGCCTAGACCCTTCATCAGAAAAGGGGGAGGGGAAGGGGGTTTTGAAATAAATAGGGAGAGAGTGGAGGCGGATAGAAGAGGGATAGAGGAGAGGATAGGTGGAGAGGAAACAAACAGGTCGAAGAGGCGGGGATGGAGCCAGGAAAGGTGAGTGTAGGTAGGGAGTTAGGAAGGGGATAGGTCAGTCCAGGGAGGACGGACAGGTCAAGGGGGCGGGATGAGGTTGGTCGGTAGGAGATGGAGGTGCGGCTTGAGGTGGGAGGAGGGGATAGGTGGGAGGAAGAACAGGTTAGGGAGGCAGGGACGAGCTGGACTGGTTTTGGGATGCGGTGGGGGGAGGGGAGATTTTGAAACTTGTGAAATCCACATTGATACCATTGGGCTGCAGGGCTCCCAAGCGGAATATGAGTTGCTGTTCCTGCAACCTTCGGGTGGCATCGTTGTGGCACTGCAGGAGGCCCAGGATGGACATGTCGTCTGAGGAATGGGAGGGGGAGTTGAAATGGTTCGCAACTGGGTGGTGCAGTTGTTTGTTGCGAACCGAGCGTAGCTGTTCTGCAAAGCGGTCCCCGAGTCTCCGCTTGGTTTCCCCGATGTAGAGGAAGCCACACCGGGTACAGCGGATGCAGTATACCACATTGGCAGATGTGCAGGTGAACATCTGCTTGATGTGGAAAGTCTTCTTGGGGCCTGGGATGGGGGTGAGGGAGGAGGTATGGGGGCAGGTGTAGCACTTCCTGCGGTTGCAGGGAAAAGTGCCGGGTGTGGTGGAGCTGGAGGGGAGTGTGGAGCGGACAAGGGAGTCACGGAGAGAGTTGTCCCTCCGGAAAGCAGATAAGGGTGGGGAGGGAAAGATGTCTTTGGTGGTGGGGTCGGATTGCAGATGGCGGAAGTGTCGGAGGATGATGCATTGGATCCGGAGGTTGGTGGGGTGGTACGTGAGGACGAGGGGGATTCTTTTTTGGTTTTTATTGCGTGGACGGGGTGTGAGGGATGAGGTGTGGGAGATGTGGGAGACACGGTTGAGGGCGTTCTCGACCACCGAGGAGGGGAAGTTACGGTCCTTGAAAAACGAGGACAACTGAGATGTACGGGAGTGGAATGCCTCATCCTGGGAGCAGATACGGCAGAGGCGAAGGAATTGGGAATAGGGGATTGCATTTTTGCAGGAAGGTGGGTGGGAGGAGTATTCCAGGTAGCTGTGGGAGTCGGTGGGCTTGAAATGAATATCGGTTTCTAGGTGGTTGCCCGATATGGAGACAGAGGTCCAGGAAGGGGAGAGAGGTGTTAGAGATGGTCCAGGTAAACTTAAGGTTGGGGTGGAAGGTGTTAGTGAAGTGTATGAACTGTTAGAGCTCCTCGTGGGAGCACGAGGCGGCGCCGATACAGGATTTCACAAGTTTCAAAATCTCCCCTCCCCCCACCGCATCCCAAAACCAGTCCAGCTCGTCCCTGCCTCCCTAACCTGTTCTTCCTCCCACCTATCCCCTCCCCCCACCTCCATCTCCTACCGACCAACCTCATCCCGCCCCCTTGACCTGTCCGTCCTCCCTGGACTGACCTATCCCCTTCCTAACTCCCTACCTACACTCACCTTTCCTGGCTCCATCCCCGCCTCTTCGACCTGTTTGTTTCCTCTCCTCTATCCCTCTTCTATCCGCCTCCCACTCTCTCCCTATTTATTTCAAAACCCCCTTCCCCTCCCCCTTTTCTGATGAAGGGTCCAGGCCCGAAACGTCAGCCTCTCTGCTCCTATGATGCTGCTTGGCCTGCTGTGTTCATCCAGCCCTGCACCTTGTTGTCTCAGCTATACTAATCATCTATTTAAGACAATCATTCAAGCTTGCAACACAGCTTATTCACACTTGTCATTTTTTTAAACATGCATTTATCTGTAGGGACCCATTCATACAACCAAAGGAATATGTTCAAGCCTTACGCTTTTTTTTGAATTACCAATGAACTTGGGGGAGCCTATAGTTTGCCAATACTTTCACCATGGCAATGCTTCAGCCACAGTCAGTCAATTTGCAAACTAAGTGGCATATTTTTCTCCTGTAGCACCAGTCATTGAGACTGTTTGAAATTTGGCATTCTTGCATTGGTCCTGATGAGCTAAAGACAAAATACTTCAGCAATAATGTCTCTCTTCAGCAGTATCCTACCAAGGTACTGTGCTTCTAAACCGCTTTTAAACTTGGTAATGGATGAAGCTTACAATACATTAAAAACAAAAGTAACTCACATTCGGCTTGCTGTGTGGTTTTTTGCTAGAGGTTCTCCCTGTGCACTGCAATTAAAAGAAACACAATGTCGTTACTAGATGAGCATATACTGAGAATAACTATCATCCACAAGCAAGCTGCTTTGTTACAGTAGATAACGCTAGGGCACAGTATAACTGAGTGGCAATAGACAGATTTCAGACCACTTAACATCCACGATCACTGGAAATGCAGATTAAAATGTACAGTCTCATTATCCAAGGAGGATAGGGGCACATGCTTCTTGTGGATAACAAAAGAAAAATTCAGAAACCACTCCAATATACTGTGAAGGACTGTGCAATTGGTTTACCAAGGCAGGCTGGATAAGACAACAGGAAATATAAAAGGAGCCAGGGACTGACCTTGTGAGTATGTGGATCTGAGGGCAGCAAATCAGGAGATAGAGGGGACTCTCTGGAGGCACCAAATATGTCGCTGAAATGAGTTCTCAATCAAAACAGACCAAGTTTGCCTACATTATTTCAAGAAAACACCAGCTTTGAAATAAAATCCATCACCTTTCCTCACACTCTGGTGATGCAGTCCTTAACCCTTCAGCTGAATTTACTGATTCAAGAAAAATTTTTTTAAAAAAGTGGTTCTCAACACCTCCAGTACTGAAAACACCAACTTGTGTTAAAGCACAATCATCAAATTCAGGCCGTGGTCAGGGGCAATCATTCAGTCTGGCTAAAACCTATTTCAATACAGCCCACCCATCAGGTGCTCAGACTTTTACATTTCATTTCCAAAAGCACATTACCATTAATTTTCTGCATTCTGGTATGGTTCAAGTGATGGATTTCATAGTTAGCATCCAAGTTGCAGATTGTTGTTTAATTTAACTCTGACAGTGGCAGAAAGCACTTGATGACCAAGACCTGCTGCAATTAGTTTTGTATAGCTATACAACTGGATTGCAGTGGGATGTGAAATCTGGATCATTCCAAATTCTAAAGTGATAGTACTGCTCTACTTTTAGAGCACCTGACTGCAGACCTATGTTGTTTTAGGTACTGAATGACCCATCCTTCTAATCCCAGTGATTAAAAATGCAAAGCCTTTAGCTACAATCTGAAAAATCTAAACCATGTCTTTTATGGCTGGCAACCTTGCAGTCAATCCTTCAGAACGTAGCTTTCCTCCGAAGACAATATTAAGGCAATGTTTGACCTAACAAATGTCTTAGTAATGGCCTTGGTATTGAAGGAGCTGTCAAATGAGGTTAAGTCCTAGTTACCCTATACCATAATGCAATGTTAAAAATGTGGATGTCCGGTATCACAGCACAATGTGTACTGAGTGAAAGCAATTCCCAATTATTTCTATATACAAAGTTTGTAATTTTACACAGGGTTTTAAACATCAAAGGTAACATGACTAGTTCAAGAGCCATTTGTAGCATATTTGCAAAACAAATACATTTGTCTCCTTCACCCAGTCTCTGACCTTGCTATATTTCACTCTATCCTGGTTCTCAACTTGTCCCAGGCCCAGCTGTCCTGACTACATGTCACGTTGTCCCAAATCTCAGCCTTGGTCAAGTGTTACCTTTGTCTCTAATCTCCCCCACCCTTCAATCAACAGTAACAGCCAAGGGGAGGGTACTGGTGCCTAGAAGTGTGTACCACAGGTTTGTAAAAATTAAAGTGCGTGGCAGAAATACTGTGGGGAAAATAATGGCTTTTACAAGAAGACGGTAATAATCAAAACAATGAAGAGATGACTTGATTAAGCATGATTGCTGGAAAGCCAAAACATGACCGAATTGTAAATCTGCAGTTCACAATGGTGGATTTATCATAGAAAAATGCCCCAGCATACTTACTTTCAAAGCATTAGAAATGGAACTAAAAGGGTCCCAATGGAAAAGTGAACACGTTGAGGATTTCAAGGAGCGAATTCTTGGAAAGAATTCTAGATATGTTCTACTCAACCTGTTCAGTGACAGCATTACACACCTCCACTGCAGGTGAGACTTCAACATAGGTCTTGCGGCTAAAGCAGAATTGAAGAGCAGGCTGCACAACCATCAAGGGCAGGAATGAAGGAGTGGGTAGGCAAAAAGAACTAGCAGAGGAACAATTATATTTGTGTGCACGCGAGAGCCAGGGAGACATCATGCGAGAGAGACTGTATCAAAAGATGCAGTTTGCCAAATGAAGTAGTTGTGCTCGAGAGACTGAGAAAACAATTGCTCTAGAAGAGGTAACCAACTTGGATTTCAAAGATTTCAGGAATATGTCCACATAGCCAAACCAGTCTTGAATTTCTGGCATAAATCTTGTGAAACTTGCCAAATTAGAATATTTTAACAAGAAAGAAAAAGATGCTGCTTTTTATAGATCTGTACATTTAAACTTTTGCTACAAATCAACTGCAAAACTTTCATGATTTAAACGGACATTAGCTTTTGCTCTGTCACTTACAATTACAAGATATATTTAAAAAGCAGAAGAAACCTGAACAAAAAAAAAAACATCATGCTGCATTATTTGCTGGGGTAGAGGATTAATGGTATCTGGTGACAAATTGTTAGGACTTAACGATTTGCTTTTGTCCTTTATATACAGGCTCAACTATTTATCTCTGGATCAAAATTTTACTTTGCATGCATTACTTAAACTTTAGATTGCAATCACTTAACTATTAAGAAAATCAACTTTCAACATTCAAATAGGATTAGGCAACAAATGCTGGCCATGCTAATAATATCCATATCACAAAAAGATGCTTGCGTTGGACTGACAATTATTCTAAAAACTTATCTTGATTAGCTGAATATTTGATCGATTTTGTGACTCTTTTTGCAACATGACTATGCTTTAAAGTGATTCACAGCAAGTATCCCACTGTAGTTTTTGAAGTGCAGTCACTTTATAAAAATGAATTTGTTTGTGGGACATGGGCATCACTAGCCACCCCAGCATTTATTGGCCATTCCTCACTGGCCTTGAGCTGCCTTCTTCAACTGCTTTACAAGTCCTTGTGCTGTAGGTAGAGCCACAAAGCATTAGAGGGGGAATTCCAGGATTTGGACCCAATGACATTCAAGGAATGGGAATTATACTTCTAAATCAGGACGGTGCATGGTTTGGAGGGGAATTTGCAGCAGTGGTGTTCCCATCCTCCTTCCAGATGGGGTGCTGTACAAGGATTGGTGAATTTCTGCAGTGCATCTTGTAGATGGGACACAAACTGCTATTGAAGATCAGCGGTGCCTTCCAAGTGCTTTGTTTTGAATGGTGTCAAGCTTGAGTTTTGTTGGAGTTGTACTCATCCAGGCAAGTGGGGAGCATTCCACCAAGCTCCTGATTTGTGCCTTGGACAGGCTCTGGAGAGTCAGGAAGTAATTTACTTGCTGCAGCATGCTTATCATCTGACTTGCTGTTGTAGCTATTGTGTTCGTACGACTAGTCCAGTTCCGTTTCTGGTCAAAGTAACCCCCCTAGGATTTTAATTGTGAGGTATTGAGTGATGATAACACAACTGAATGTCAGGGAGCAATGTTTAGATTGTTTGTTATTGGAGATGGTCATTGCTAGTCATTTGAGGAGTGTGAATATAACTTGCCACTCACCAGCCCAAGCCTGGATACTATCCAGATCTTGCTCATTTGGACATGGACTGCCTTAACTTCTGATTTGTCGTGAATGGTTTCTCAGCAAATCACTTCCGACCATATGATTGAGGGGAAGTTTTTAATAATGCAGCTGAAGATGATTGAACCTAGATTACTATCAGGAACTCTTGCAGGCATGTCCTGGAGCCAAGATGACTAACCTCCAGCAACCACAAACATGTTCCTATGTGCCAGTTACAACTTCAACCAGCAGAGCTTCCCTTTCTCTTCTCAACTTTGCCCGCCCACACACTACCATCCCCATAATACAAAAGGGGAAAAGAGAGCATTCTCTTACAACCTTTAGATTGGGGGTGATAAGCAGAAGATTTAAATTGCTTTATTCCCAATCTAGTCCTAATCTCTTAAAATTTGTGAAGGAAAATTTGAACCTTGATCTAATTGCATTTCATTGGGCAAACAAAACCTTAGAACATAGAACAGTGCAGGCCCTTCGGCCCATTATGTCGTGCCGAACTTTTACCCTAATCCTAAATTCTATCTAACCTCCACCCCTACCTTACACTATCATCCATATGCCTATCTAATAGCCGCTTAAATGCCCTAATGAGGCCGACTCCACTACCCTCTCTGGCAATTCTTTCCACACCCCGACCACTGAGTAAAGAACCTACCTCTAACGTCTCCCCTATATCTACCTCCACTCACTTTAAAACTATGCCCCCTCATAATAGCTACCTCCACCCTAGGAAAAAGTCTCTGCCTGTCCACTCTATCTATACCTCTGATCATTTTGTACACCTCTATCAAGTCACCTCTCATCCTTTGTCGTTCTAAAGAGAATAGCCCTAGTTCTCGCAACCTTTCCTCTTAAGACCTTCCCTCCATTCCAGGCAATATCCTGGTAAATCTTCTCTGCACCTTTTCCAACACTTCCACATCTTTCATGTAATGAGGCGACCAGAACTGGACACAATACTCCAGATGTGGCTGAACCAGGTACCTTGTTAAAAAATAAAATTAAACTAACTTCTCCACTACCATTTTTGCAGTGGTTCATAAGGCATTGGTTCAGAAAATCAAGAATTTGTAATCCTCAAAAGATATTGATTCATGTTCCCAGTTTTAGTTAGGCATCTTGCACAACCGCATAAGACCCTGATAGTTTAGCAGTTGATACTGGAAATACACACAGGTTTAGTTGGAAGTGGAGCAACCCAGTACATAACATGTATGACATACATGCAAATTTGGCTATATCTTTATGTAATCCTGACCTAAGCATTTTAATATTTACGTATTAGGAAAACAGGCTAAGTGAACAACTATCTAGTGGATCACAGCCCATTCCTCACTGGCTGATATGAAGTAGTTTCTGTTTTCTCATTAGTACTATGCCTTCAAATAAGATCAAAAGCCTGTGCAAAGTTCAAGTAATCC